TATGTAAAAAATATATTTTTTTTGCTTTATACATATGTAAAATATATTATCAGAGAACCTGATGAAAACTCAGTGCAGCCCCAAATCTGTCTCAGTGTTTCTTAAGATCCTGCGTAGAGCTCCCTCTGCATTTATCTCTAAGACTTGCAGTTATACTCACCTGAAGTTCCTGTTCATATCCCATTTCTGTTCCTGCTGTGATTCAGCTAGCACCTCGGACATCTGATAAGCCAGATCTGTTCCACCATGTCCTTTCTGGATTCTTGGGGCAAAATTAGTCTCACCTAACTTCAGACAACTAGAGCAGAGAGCTTTATGCTGATCACCGCCAGCTCCCACTAGAGTCAGTGAGGTGAACCAGACCCTTCTAGAGACCCACTCCTCTGACTGACTGCATGCCATGGCCCTCCACAGACAAGGCAAAGAGCCCAAGGGGACCTAGTTCAGATGAAAACATCCAAACTGGCAAGATAAATTCCACTGTCTGTGTTAGATCTTTATTAATGCCCTTCTATTAATATGCTCAAGATTACAAAAATGTACATTTTGACAATTTAACACTTTCAGCTGTAATACCTTTGTATTCCTATTCATAAATAATATGCAAACCATTAAAAAGCCCCTACAAAAATACATAATTTTTTTTGGTATGTCTGCTTGTACCAAAACAAGAACAAAATATAGGCAAATTTATTGATAGCTGTAAATGTTACTCTTGATGCAAAACAGATAACAATAACCTACTCTCAGACATTATAAGATTTCCCCATGTGAAGCAGAACAAAATCTAAAGTAAGCAAATTATTTCATTCAGTGAAAAAAGTTTCTTTTAATAAATAAAAGAGTTGATATGCAGGTTCTGATGAGATGAAATTGTTAGTGAAATTATAGGTGAACGATCTGCTCAGCCTGGTGGCAGAGCTGAAGGAGGAGGTGGAAAGGCTGAGGAGTATCAGGGAGTGCGAGAGGGAGATAGACTGGTGGAGCCGCACCCTGCCGTCCCTGGGGTCAG